TTCCAATAGAATTTTTTCAAGGGGGAGTTGGGAATATTTTGCGGGGGGGGTTGGGGGGGGGCGGGCGTTTGTGCATCCACGCGGGGCATTCTTTCAAACCCCGGGCACTGGAGTTTGACCAAGGACGGCGGCAGTTTCTGCACATCATGGTTAGGATACTCTACCATGGTTTTCCAAAGCTGATTCGGGACAGGGTGATAGCGAAGATACAGGCACATCGGTTGTTCCGGAATGTGGAATAGGGCTTGTCCGTAGAATGGGGCTTGTCCGTCGAGATCGGGGTGTACTTTTTACGGAGGATCTTGTATTTGTATGATTCGGCCATTTGTCGACGCCGTCGGTACCCCCCCCCCCGCCGTCGCATCCTGCTCGCAAAATGGACACTAAAAGTGCGTTCCGGCAGGCTTTTGCAAAGTAAGGTAAGCAAAAGGCGTGCGTTCAGTTACTTGGTACATAGATAGGTCGATGTCGTCCGTTCGGGTGGTCAAGCTCGCCTTCGTGTTGGGTTGTGTGCCCAGCAGTATTTAGTCAAACACGCACATCGTAACACGACCTTTTGTTCACGAATGAATCCAGTCGTAAGGCCACGAATCATGAACCGTATGTATGTGCGTGCACGCTAAAAAAATGCTGCCGCATTCACTTCGTTTTTCACCCGGGCTCTTTATTGGGAAGTCGACTTTTTTTGGGCACGAACTCGTGGAGACGATGAGCTACTTGTTGAGTTGGTACGTTTCTTGCGTGGGAGATGGTGCATTTGAGTTACCCGGTCGTTTGCGTGTGATGGCTTTCGTTTGTTCGGGAGTCCGGATGCAAGAGAACCCCCCCCCCCTTGCTCGGGAGAGATCCATGTCGCGGGGATATGCGCTTGAAGAAGGTGACACAACCTGCGGGCCCTGTCCGCGGAACGGCCGGCAGACCGGCGAGGAACGCCCGGCAAGGCAGTGCGGCCGTTGTGTGGGTTAGCTGTTCACTTGTGTGAAGTGGACACGGCCTGGCGGCGGTTGTTGTGCGTCGTACTCTCAGCCAGGTGGGGCTAGCGCCTCTGGCGGCAGGGGAAGGCGCCCGTGACAGTGTTGTTGTCGCAACCGAGGGCGCGGGCACGGTAGTACATTGGGTCGCGGGTGTGACGATGATTTGGCAATTTTGGAGGATAGTCACAGAGAGAGATAGATACGAAACCGCCGAGCTTAGCGGATCATTTAGCGTATGCATGCAAAAGTCTCTTGTATTTGGTGAGGCCTCCTGCCGCGACTGGAGGACCTCACCTGAAGGGTACGCCTTCGCCGATGCTGAGAGCTCTCTCAGCGCCGGGGAGGGGGGGTACTTCCCCCGAAAATTATCAAACGATCAAGGGGCCCTCCATGTGTAAACCGTGGAACACCCCAGCCCCGCCCCACTCCCTACTCCGGTTTGGCTTCTGCCACATAGCATCTTTCACCACCGTTCGTTGAGATATCTGGT